ACACACACACACACACACACACACACACACACACACACACACACACACACACACACACACACACACACACACACACACACACACACACACACACACACACACACACACACACACACACACACACATATATAATAAGTTTATATGTGTGTGGGCCCAAGTAATGCTACAATTGTACATTTTGTCACACGTAGATATAAGTTCCTGTTTTTGTGTAGAAGTACATACTTATATGTTGATGTGGTATTTACAAAGATGAAGATTCATGCACATGTGTTGTTTTGTTCAAGTGTGTACTCTGCCTTCGATACTTACGCATGCATACCCAAAATCTCTATGGCAGTAAAATTCTACGAGCATACAGCGCATAGAACTCGGGTAATTTCTCAATGTTCAATTACATGTTGTTCTTTTTTTGTTTATGTCTTCTTGCTTGAAATCTCGTACATCTTTTTATCTGATTGTACGATTGTAGCTGAACAAAAAAATTGCTAGGCGATGCCTCATCAGTCTATCACTGAAAGTTAATCATGGCACGATGCATTGCTTTAGCATACACTCCTCTATCAGAATACTACATAAGCAAAATAAATATAATTGCTATCGTCTTTAGGGATTTACGTATACTTTGTGATAAAAATTGTGTAGCATGGCTATATATTACTGGACGTCATTTTGTACACTTTATGTTGAAAAATACAGATTACCAAATTACACCCTTTGATCGCAACGATCAAAATGCAGGCGAAGTCATAGTCAAACCGGAGAGTGCTGCCAGTCAAATAAGGATACTTAAGTCGAAGGATCCATCAGACAGCAAGATTATGAAGTCCAAAGATTCAGATGTCCCAGCACACCTGAAGAAGTCCAAGACGAGTGAAACGGACAAACCTAACGAGACAAAACCTATCAGGACAAAGATAGTCCAGAGTCCAAATGATATGTCTGACGTGCTGTTTGTACTGACAGAGGGTCCGTCACAGTTAGATCGCTTTCCAAGTAAGGCTGTTCATATTCATGCAGAGTGCGCCCATACGTGGTATACACTACAACGTGCCTTAATAACATCGCATTTATCGATCTATATGCACAACGGAAAGTCTTTTTATATCGCGAACGGATGATTTACAATCGTGTTTTTGGGTTTCTTCATGCAGGATGTCATGAGTATTTGAAAGAACGTAAAAGTCTATTGAAGAACGTACGTGTAGCTAATACAGAGGCAGACGAATTCGCAATCTTTCCGGCGGGCAGGAACGTAGTCGTTCCAAATATGCTATCTAAAAAACATGTATGTCTTGCTTTAATATCAAATGTGCGGTGTTGTGTGTACTGTGGACACACAGAGAGTGCTAATATGCATACAATGGTAAATAGTACCTTCGCAGTAAATGCATGGGGAGAGGGATATACAATACTTATGAAGATAAATAACATCAAACATGCTGGTATGATTTGAGCACATCTCTTTGTCAGACATGAACACATACATGCTTGTCGCCAAGGCCGACATCATTCAATCTTATCCGTCCGCTTAGTATTTGCATACACACTGCTGAACGTAGTTTACTTCTACAATGCAGAACTCCAAGGTTTTGAGCGAGGGGCACGATCGTCTATGGACACTACTTGGCGCAATGCCGGGTCTAGACGAGTATATAAGAGATGAGCAATCGAGAAATATCCATCGAGCCTGGGTATTTATCGTGAAGGATAGCAGGACAACCATCCACTATTCTAAGATGCAAAACTTTATCTCCAACTTGGACCAAGAAAAAACAAATAGTAAGTTTGGACCATCGCTGTATGTCTAGAGGCAGGAATCAACGGGCTCGCGACAGTCACGGGTAATCTTCTTGAATCAAAATTCGACACCAGCAATAACAAACTCTGCTGTATTGCTTTACTAATTGTGCAGGTTTCATCGGTAGAGGTCTGAAGGACAATCTGGATACCGGTATGAAGATCATTCACCACTACGACAACAGTCAGATGGTCTGGCCAGATATCCAGGCGGGTGTTCTTATGTCGACTGATTTGGTACAGAAGCTGGCAGAAAAGATACGAACGGCCCCACCCAAAATGGCGTTTACGATTGATGCACCCTATGAATTGGCAAGGTAGGCAGGCTTGTGTTGGTTCCGGTATTTCTGCTCTGGGCAGACACGTGGAGTGGTCGAGTAGTAGCGGCCTACAATGCAACCTTGACCTTAGGCTTTGTGTGTATAGCGCGTGTTCAGTTCCGATGTACCAAGCTTGCCACAAGTTCGGTTAGGGTGCAGACCTTGGTGGAAAGTGCAAGCTCAAAAAAGCGGCGCTTAAACTCTATATTGTGAATCGATAGATTTGGACGTTCTGTGGGATGTGAAAGGAAGATGTATTGTTGATTGAGGTTAATGATTGCGTCTCAAATTACTTTGTAGGCAACGTAGGGCAATTGGTGCGTTCCACCTCAGTCTCACTGAGTGCTGAGTAAATTGAAGGTCACGCGGCCATATTGACTACCATCTCCTATCGGATTCAACTTTTAAATATATCTCTACTGCACATTACCAGATTTCTGCGAGAGGAGCTGAATGTTGACCTTCAGAGTTCTGAAGTTTTCTGCTATCCTGACGAAGCCGATGCGACCGGAAATCGTAAGTATATCATGTCTATCCATCGTCTTTATATGTGTCAACACATCTTCTCGTACGATTATGTTGCTTGGCAGTACGTCACGGGATGTTCTTTACTGATCACTCAGATGCACTCTGCAATAACAGTTTGAAATTCAATATACGTAGCTGTTCGTACCGTCTGCATTCTCAAGACATTTCACGCTTGCTATTTTGATAGAGTGTGCCACTGTGGTCCCCTGTACAATTGATTTGTCAGCCTCTGGCTCACGGGACAGTGTATCCGAAGATGCAATTATGTACGCGGTCAAGACCCACACAGCCAATCATTACACGCGGGTCGAAACCATCAAGAAGACTTGGGTTCAGGTATGACAATGAATGGACTGCCAAATAGTACTTTCTGCACTGCACGGCTACGGCTACGTAAAGGTTTTTTTCTCGCTTTTTATCTGTCATGCCATTTCAATGCTAGGGAATCGCATTTTCTGTTTATTAGAGTTTTTTCTTTTCTTTTATTGATCAAATTCTGACCGCTTTTAGTTTCTTCTCAGAGATCTCAATCCCGTCTGACACCGTTAACCTTTCAAATATTTGGTTTGCTTCATGTTCCAGGATGCCAAACACATCACCTTCTATAGCGACCAGGCCGATGAGAAAGTGCCCACAAAGGAGACTAAAGGTGTACCAAACACTAAAAGAGGCCACTGCGGAAAGCTAGAGTACATTCTCAGAGACTTGTGGGAGGTATAAAGTGAACAGCTAAAACTATCGATGCAATTTTGGATTGCCATGGAACTACATCTGCCTTGCTTGCACTGATTTAAGTTTGTTTTTGTGATCCTTTCTGATGCATTTTGTTGTGCTGCGGGCGATTTCGTGGCCAATACAAAGGATGCCTATATCCAGCGATGGCCCAACTTTTCTACACAGTGTTAATGACAGTTTTTCGGTCCTGAGCACAATGTCAGACATATTTCAGAGAAACATATCGAGGCCCATGTGAAGTGTGCCTTATCCGAAGCCATTTCTCCTACACGATGCAGAACCGAGCGGACTTCAAGTGGTTTGCCGTGGTCGACGATGACACGTCGATCAGTCCCAAGCGACTCGCACGACTGTTGCACAAGTACACCACGACAGGCAGTGAAAGCGTGATTATTGGAGAGAAGTACGGGTTCATGTTCAACCAGCCTCAGTACGGCTACGAATACCCAACACTTGGTATGCTGCGTTGAAATGTCGTGCTTGTATTTGATCCTCGAAAAACATCTGTTCTCAACAGTCAGGTCTTCGCGAATGTACTTTCCAGATTTCAATCCCGCGGCGTCTTGAACCGCTATTATAGAGACACATCTTATGATTTTCGATATTGATTGGTTCGATTGGCTGGATTTACGAACCATTTTGTTGTCCCAAACCCATTTCAACCTCTGACATATGCTCATTGACGAACCGCTACATGTATCTTTAGCTAAAATAAAACGATGCACTATGATTTCCTATCTATCACAGGCTGTGGAATGGCCATCTCCAGAGAAGCCCTCCGCTTTCTGGTGGAAGACTCTCAATGCGCATGCCCGGCCGTGGACTCCCCGGACGATATGTGGATTGGCAGTTGCTTGCGCCATCACAGTGGCAAGGTACAGCTTATAGGGCACCCAGGGTTTCACCAGGAACACCCCACCCAATACCATCCTCGTGTGCTAGCACGGAGTGATGCGGTTGCCTTTCATAGGGCAAAGGCAGATGATGCCGAGATGATATACACCACTTACTTGGGGGGCGGGCAGTAGCTATGCTGTCGAGGCGCTCGACATGATATACTATTGCCCCTTATAGTTCCTCACAAATGTTCATTCGTTACGGACGTGAGACTAAATGCCCGTGTTTTGATACCTTTTAGACCTGACCTGCACTTGTAGGGTCCCACGGTACACATGCAATATTGAAGCCAATCAGAATCGTCAAAGATGGCAAGAGCCTGTAATAAATAACAGCCTTTCCTTGCCACAATAAAACTATCTAGAGACGCATCTTGTATGTATCACAGTAGGACGCACTACAAAATATATGCCATAAACGGTTCTCGTCCCGCCCAGTGAGTAGTGCACATGGTTAGTGTTAGTGGTGACTTTTTTTTATCATAGCTGCCCAGATCGAGCGGAAGTAGCGGTCCCATCCTCTCCCGTCATCTTCTCAGGTCTTTGATACTCGACGCATTCGTTATATCTTCAAAGATTTTTGTCCCGTGTGTTATGTGTGTTGTATGTGTTTTATGCGTGTCAGTAGTGTATTGCTGTGCCTCGATTTTTCTGGTGGCGTGTGTTTAGTCTATGTACAATTGTCGATTGGTACGTTTACTCGGGTTGATGCATGTTTGCGAGTTGATTCGTAGTATAAATCATACACGTCTGTATATGTAGTGTGCCGTCGGGTCTCCAGTACACATTCTTGTGGCCTTTCAAACGTGTCTAGAGCTCCGCATTAGCGAATAGTGTGATATACACCCTGGAGTCGAAACTGGTCGCATCAGGGTGTGTGACCTTTAGCTCTTTCCCAAGTTCCCGCACAGTCAAGCGTGGTTCTTGGGCACCCGTCAAAGCATCTGAGATAGGCAAATTCGCCACTACAAACCGGTTCAGCACTGCTTTGAGCAGGTACCCTACAACTACGTATACAGCGAGATATGTTCCGTCCAATTTTAGCGAGTGCATGCCATCGTCGTTCTGAAACTGATAGAACCAAGCCAAAACCCAACCCACAAACGCATAGAAGATCTCGTTCACGGAGCTAATTCTCGCATCTGTGACACGGAGGGCCTCGATACGCGCCTCGTTCTGTTCGGTTCGCAGCTTGTTGTTTGCACGGTGCATGCTCGCGGTGATACCTGGTGCATTCCTACCCACAGCCTTCCTCACAAGGTTGCTATGAGACAAGTACGGGTACTTTGAGTTCACTCCTTCCATGGGCGCATGCGAATGCCAATCACCATTGCCTCCTGACGAGACTCCAGGGAAGTTCACGTCTCTTGTGAGTGTATCATCAAATACACTCGTAGATTCCACTAGATATGACGCAATGTACTCTCGGATGGCCCTATGTGGCACCCCAGGTGAACACTCTCGCAGTCTCACAACGGCCGCTTTCAACTGCGCAAACTCTGCATGCTCGTCTGAGGTCATGGGCATAGTGCAGGGGACAGTGCGATAGACGATCTTCTCCGCCACTGTAACCTTGGCTGGGTTTTCAGCGGTTGTCCAGCTGAGTGCATGAGCACTGATATCGCTAGAAGGGCTGTCCTTGGGGTACCCCCCACTCTGCTTCCATTGGGTCAATAAGGCGCCAAGCCGGTCTACACCTCGTTTCACACGTCCAAGCTTGGTCAGCTCTCTCAGGAAGTAGTCTATGATCACCTTGCGCTCAACATCCACTTGGGCATCCTCCGATTCGCTCCCAGCACGTGCACACTCTCCTGAGAGATCTGTAGGGGTGGTGACTTGCAACTCATTAGCTAGCCATTCTACCATAGCAACTGTGCGTGCGTCTGCAAGGAGAAAATAAAGATTGTTAAAAGTTACAAATATAACATGCAGTTTGTGAATATATCTTCAGCCTAACATTACCGCACAAACGCATACAGACATTTTTCAGGAGATAAATCATGGGTATACAGATTAAAAGCTATGCACACTTTATCTTATACATACCAAAACGATAGTCGACCTAGACTATACGAAGTTTCGGATACAT